CTTGAAGATGTGAGTGCTCAGACTGCTCCAGCTGCCTCCCGCCATGACTCCCTATCATGATGGACTCTCACCCCTCTGGAAATGCAAGCACAATAAACTCTTCCTTTTATAAGTTGCCTTGATCATGGTGTTTTATCACAAAGGTTACTTCTCTTTGTGATAATGCCTGGAACATTTTTTTTTGTGGACAGCAGCAAGGTGGCTATTAAAATGTATCAGTTTAAAGACAGGGATTTCCTGGTCTCTAGGGGAGAGTTGACCACTCAGGAGTGGCATGGACCTGGGGGTGGGAAAACAGGACTGGGACTAACAGTATGTGGTAGAGCGATGCTCTGGGTCATGACTGCATTGAAAACATTCACAGTGTTTAAAATGCCATTTTCTAGGAGCACCACAGACCACATGAATCACAATACCTCTACGTGGCGCCTGGACTTAGGTCATTTTATACGTTCCCCAGCTGGGTCTAGTTTACAGCCAAGTTGGGGTGCAGATCTTAGATAGTGGTACTTAGACCTCAACAAGCCTCGGAATGTCTTGCCAGGCTTGTGGAACTGTAGTGCCCTATGCCCATGTAGAGTAGGATGGGCTGGTCTGGAGAGGAGCTGAGAGTTTGTACTGCTGTCAAGTCTCCGGGGGCAGTGCCACCATGGCCTAGAGGACGCTGCACTGGAGGACCCTCTCCTAGAGCTGCAGAGCATTAACATCCTGAACTGCTTTGGATCTGTGTCACTGATGTGGAAGCTGCCATCTGTCTGGATGGGTGCTGTGGTTTGGGGCGTGTGTGTGCACGTGTGCGCGCTCGCCAGAGGGCTGACATCAGGGGTCTTCCTCAATCACTTTCCTCTTTTTCTGTTGTTTTTGAGACATTTTCTCTCACCAAACCTGGAGCTTGCCCAGGAGGCTTGACGAGCCGTCCAGTGAGTCCCTGGGATCCTCCTGTCTCTGCCTCCCCAGTGCTGGGATTACAGGAATGTGCTTCTGTACTTGCCTTTTTACATGGGACTGGGGATTTGAACTCATGTCTTAATGCTTGTGCATACCCTTTACCAACAGATCCATCTCCCCAGCCCCGTCAAGTAATTGCTCTTACCATACTGTAGTTTGACTGAAGCTGAAGGATGTGTTACTGATACTGTATATCATTATCTGGCCATGCAGGTAGACTTCCTGTTCTAATTAACCTCATAAACTTCATCATCTTTAAAATGGAGCAGTAGGATCAGTTTCATAAAGACCCTGAAAGTGTGTTAGAACATCAGTTTGGGAAAAGCTGATTGTTACTCAGTAGGACTCTTTAATGGTATTGTTACCAAGTTACTAACTGTTCTCTTTCTTGCATTGAAGGCTGTTAGGAATGGGCCTGGGGTCTCAAGAAAGTGACCACACAATCCAAAGTATTTCAGCAAGGCAAAAAGTTTGACTTCTGCGGAAGGGTATGGAACCTGATGAATCAAGCACGCAAGCACACCAAGTGGTTGTTAGTTCCTAACGTAAAGGGGTCCTGTGCCTCACTTAGAGTGGTCACAGTTCAGCCTCATATTATTTCACTGGCTGACTTAAAATGACACAGTTGACAAGCAGAATGCAGTTTTCAGAACCTAGTGTAATCTTGAGCACACATTTTGATCTCAAGAAGTGTTAACCTTGGAAGAATTCAAATTTCTGCAAAGGGGCTTCTTTGCAGGTTTTTTTGTTTTTGTTTTGTTTTTTTGTTTTTTGAGACAGGGTCTTCTTGCAGTCCCAGCTGGCCTGGAACTCACTATGTAGACCAGGCTGGCCTTGAACTCCCAGAGACCCACCTGCCTCTGCTTCCCAAGTGCTTAAAGGATTAAAGGCGTGCGCCACCACGCCCAGCTGCAATTTTTTTCTTTTAATGAGAAGTTCTGTCTTATTTAGCCCTTTGATAGGAAAGATAGCACCTTTTTTTGTTTGTTTGTTTAATATTTCCTATAAAGAGAATACCAAAACGATCAGTAGCCCAAAGTTCCTATGAAATGCTGTTTTATTCCTGCAGTACCTTGAAAGCTGGTCAGTTGTTCAGCAGATACACCAGCATGCCATGTACCCCTCTGACTAGAATACAGGAAGACAAATTCTGGAGTCGTGCTGTCTCAGAAGTTGGATCCTGACTTTATGGCTTGACAGCTGAGTGGTCCTGAGCAAGTGGCTCCCTCTTTTATCCCACTGCTTCTTTTGCAAAAAAGACATTTGCTTCAGTGGAGTTGTGAGTCAGAAATAGTCTTGGGAAAATGCAAACTTGATCCTGGCACTTGGCTTCTCAGTACAGCGTCCTTCTGTTTTTTGTTGCATTTTCATCAGTTTTCTTTTTTAAAGGCTTGTGTTTTCTGTTGGTTGAGAGTAGGTAGAGAGATTTCTCACATTGCCTGGTATAGGGGAATGACAGCAAACACACTAATAATTCTGAAGAAGCATCTGACTTCCAGGAGGCCATGGCTGCCTTGACATGCTTAAGGCTGCCTCAGCGGGTCAAGCCAGTCTGCACTGAGCATCCTGCAGCTTTTCTGGATTATGCTGGGGCAAAGTCCAGACTGGCTGTGTCCTGAGTCCCCCTCTGTGGTAACGTGTTTAGTCTGACTCACCAGTAGGAGAGGGATCTGAAGCCTGTAGGGAGTGGAGTGGTAGAAGCAGGGAACACTGGACCCACAATGCTGTGATTACAGGTGATGAGCCTCTATTGATGGCTGTCACTCACAGCTGCCAATCACAAAGCAGTTCAGTTACCTCCCCAGCCCTACCAGGAACTTGAGATTTATTAATTTCTATGTTGGGTTCTCTATTAGCCCTCCAGGTTTGGTGACGCATTAGGAGGGCTCACAGGACCCACATACCATCAACCTCATGCTGGTAAACTTACTAAAGCAAAGGGTACAAAGTAAAAGTAACAAAGGAAGGCAGAGGAGGTAAAGTCCAGCCATCAGGCAGGAGGAGCTTGCAAGGGGCCTCCCTTTTGCATCACAGCCACATTAGATATGTGCAGTTGCCCCTGCAGTAAGCTGTGACATCATGGGTAAAGGCAGTCCATGGAGGTGCTAGCCAGACACTTGGTGTCCAGGATTTTACTGGGGGTGGCCATGATGACACCCACTACTGGCACGTTCCAAGATTTCCCCAGTCTCAGAAAGAAAAGCCAGCATTATTCGCTGTATCATCAGAGAATAGTGGGACCTCTCCTCACACCCAGTTCCAGATGCCATCCCCCAAGCCTTGCAAGCAGCCTTCCCAAGGGCCGCAGACCCAGCCTGTTGTGTTGGGTCCTTTCTACATGGTTGCTAAATGTCCTGTGTCCTTTCACCTTGTACTGAATTAGAGGCTCAGATTTGTGTCATGACAAATTGTTGGCTCCTGCCTTGGCTTGTTGCTCATGGAGAAGTGTTAGGCAGGGCGCATGGCGTTCTGCTTTGGAACATAGTCTTGTTGTGTGCTGCCAGCCTTTCTGCTGAGACTTGGGCTCACTGTGTGCTTCTCTGCTTTATCAAGATGGCTCGTCCGTCCCTCCTACCGCCCCCCACCCCCATTCCCACTCTCACTCTGCTTGGTCAGCCCTGGGTCTCAGTAGCCTCCCCTTTCTGTGGTTCTCAGGTAGGCTGTTAGTCGTTTTGTTTTTTAAAAAATATTTTATTTATTATTTTTATTTCAGGTGTATTGCCTGCATGTAGGTAAGTGCACCTGTGTCATGCAATGCCTGAGGAGGCCAGAAGAGGCTGTCGGATCCCCTGGAAGTTACGGACAGTTGTTAGCTGCCATGTGGGTGCTGGATTCGAACCCTGCTCTTCTGCAAGAACAGTCAGTGTTCTTAACCACTGAGCCATCTCTCCAGCCCCCTAGGGTGTCAGTCTTTAGGGTGCTGAAGCCCACAGGTTCTGACGTGCACCACCACGTGGGAGAAACCTTAGATACAGTTGTAATTTGTACCCTGCCTTTCAAACTCGACTTCGCATTTTGAAAGCCATGTCTTAGAAGTCTCACTTTAGAATTTGGATCTGTTTGCATTTAGATTTTGTTCATTTGTTTTTGGTTTCTTTTCCTCTTTGATTTTCTGCTTTGACTTTCGTTGCTTGGCTTTGAGAATCACTTGATGACAATGGTTTGAGACTCTATTTTCATCTCTTGCTTATTCCCTGGGCAGATCTCCAGCTAGCTGCTCTCTTTCCACAGCACCAGTACTCACAGGCCTTGAAACAGCGACTCCGCAGGGTCTTCTATGTGGGCCTCCTGTCCCCTGTGTTATGTCTGTACCAGGTCATGTGTCTTCTTGCCTAATTGACTCACTTGTGCGTAGGTGAGCTGATGGCTACTTTTTAGCCCGACTTCCCCTTCTGTCCTTGCCAAAGCTATTGACAGACTAGTGAAGTAGGATCAACTTGTTACTTCGTATAAACCAAGCTGGTTGTTTATGAACTTGGGCCAGCTTCACCAAACATCTATATCTCAGGGACCTCATCTGACTAGATTTGAACAGGGAAGGGAGGGAATTTGGAATTGCCTCCCCTCAACTGGTTAACTGCTGTAGACTGCTTTCATTGGTGTTTCATCACTAAATAGGTCTTGGGGCAGGGTCTTTTTGGCTTGGTTTGACTATTAAAGTTTTAAAGCTTCATCTACTTGTGATTTGGGGGCTCCAGAGGAAGACAGAGGGGTGGAGCTGCACCTGTCTGCAGCTCTGAGGAGAAAATGCCTACTTCTTTCCAGGACAGTGGTCAAGTCATTACAGGATGTGACTGACCTGTACATCCTGTTTACACCTGGGTTCACTATTTACCTGTTACATGACTCTCAGTATGCTTTGGGGCCTCATAATGTTGTTTTGAGAATTTGCTGTATGATTTAGAACGTGTCAGGCAAGAGTATGCATTTACTAATGGCTTACACTTACATTCATGGGCTGTTTTGAGTGGAATGGTGGTAGAAGTCATATGGAATGTGAAACTGATTCTTTTTCTCTTAAGACAAAATATTTATTTTGTTTTTGGCTCAAGGTGGCTGCAGCAACTGGCCACACAGTGGTGTTGGTAGACCAAACAGAGGACATCCTGGCAAAATCCAAAAAGGGAATTGAGGAGAGCCTAAGGAGAATGGCGAAGAAGAAGTTTGCAGAAAACCCTGAGGTACTTTCTTTTCAGTGCTTTAGGGCCAGTCCTCTGATCGCTTCACATTTTTGGGGGGCGGTGTACTAGCCCCGCCTTACTTGGTGTGTGTGTGTGTGTGTGTGTGTGTGTGTGTGTGTTTAATTGCTGATTGTAAAACTTATGATTGTTTAGATCAATATAACATGTCACTAATCCATTGGGGCTGATTAGGAAACAGGAGAAAACTATTTCGCTATTGGGTAGGCTTTAAGGTTAAAGAGAAACTGTGTAGGTGGTGAGCTCATCTTCAAACACACAGTCAGACTGAGGAACACTTATTTTGCCATAAAGAGAGAGAAACAGGAATATACTTATTGTACTTGCAAGGTAAAAACTGTATGGCATGATAAACACTGTATTTAGATAGAAATTTTTGATGGTTTAGATGCTGTCTTATCCCAGGCTAAAGGTTAAACACTGGGAGGAAATGTAGGGTCAAGTGTTCTCATTTTCCTGGGCAGGAGACCCAGAAAACCATGATAAACTGAGAAATTGGGAATTTTGACTTACTGAATTTTTTTTTTTTTTTTTTTTTTGTAGCCCCAGTTGGCCTAGAACTCACTATGTAGACCAGGCTGGCCTCGAACTCAGAGAGATCTGCCTGCCTCTGCTCTCCCGAGTGCTGGTTTTAAAGGTGTTATCACCACATCTGGCCCTTGCCAGCATCTTAAGGCAATTTTAATTTGCATTTCCTCGATGGCTTAGATGTTAGAACACTTTTGCAGACATTGGCAATTTGTATGCCTTTAAATTTTGGGGGGTTTACTTATTTTTATGTGTAGAGTGTTTTGCCTGCATGTATGGAAGTATACCCATGTGTGCAATGCCTGCAGAGTCCAGAAGAAGGCATTGGATCCTCTGGAACTGGAATGTGGATGCTGGGAACCAAACCTGGGTTCTCTGCAAGAAGTGCTCTTAAAAGCTGAGCTTCCCTTCAGCCCGAATTTATATATCTTTTGAAAACTTTCATTTATTAGCCCATTCATTCATTCATTCATTCATTGGATGATTTTTGCTATTTTTTGGTTTTTGTTTGTTTTCAGACAGGGTCTCACTATGTAGCCCTGGCTGACCTGGAACTCACTATGTAGACCAGGCTGGCCTCGAACTTACAGAGAGCCACCTGCCTCTGCTTTCCAAGTGCTGGGATTAAAGGTTTGTACCACCACACCCAACAATATTTCATTTTTCGTTATCGTGGTAAAATATATACAATGTAAAATTTGCTATTTTAACCATTTAATAATTTTATTAGTGTGTATGAATTGTATATGACAGTGAGTTTAGTTATGACATTTTCATACATGAGCATAGTGTATTTTGGTTCTATTCACCTCTCTTGTCCCCCATTTTCTTATATACACTTCGGTGGCATTGCTTTTATTTATATGCCTAAGCTTCTAAAGCTGTTTCATGATGTCAACCAGAAACTGTATCCATGAAGCAGTAGCTCTGCTCCTCCTTCCATTGCCCCCTGGTAATATGCTTATTCTAGCTACGTCATAGAATCATGTGATGCTGGCTTACTTTACTTTGTTTACTTTAAAGTTTTCAGTTCAGCCTATAGCATGTGTCACAGTCTCATCCCTTTTATGACTGGACAGTGTTCCTTTGTATGCACATTCCATATCTTTTTATCCATTAATTTGCTCGTAGAATTGGCTTGTTTTCACCTTTAGGCCACAGTGGACATTGGTGTGGTACAGAAACAGGTCCTGCTTTCCTAGTTGGTGTTCACACAGCACTGTGAGACCAGCACCGTAGCTGCTAACCATGCGCAACTTGAACACTTGAAATGAGGCTGATCTGAGCAGAGTTGTGCTCTAAAGTATAAATTAGACCCAGCTATTAAGGACTTAATAGGAAAAAAGAATGTAAGAATGTAAAATATCCTGGTAGTTTTTATATTGATTATATGTTCAAGTGATAGTTACATAGATGATGATATAATATTAGATATATTGACAAATAAAATTAATTTGTTAGTTTCATTTCCTTTTAATGTGAATAATAGATATTTTAGAATTACTGATTACCTCATATTGCATCTCTGCTAACAATTCTGATCTAGCAATTTATTCCAAAATGATTTTTAAAATTACTTTTATGTGTATAAGTGTTTTGTCTGCACATATTTAAATGTACCATGTGGGTGCAATGCCCACAGAGGCCAGAAGATCCCCTGGGACTGGAGTTTTGGACAGATGTTAGCTACTACGTTGGTCTGGAAGCAAAATCCAGGTCCTCTGCAAAAGCAGCCAGTTGTTTTAACATCTCTCCAGGACCCTCTTGCTCTTCCTGCTCCACTGTGATTTTTTTTTTTTTTAAGATGCTTTTGCTATTACAAATATTGCAGTGCCGGCTGGCCTTTAATCCCAGCACTCGGGAGGCAGAGGCAGGTGGATCTCTCTGAGTTCGAGTCTAGC